ACATTTAGCCGTTAATTAACGGCTAAAAATTTCATACATATATGAAAAGAAGGTTAAACTTAGCCATTAATTAACGGCTAAACATTTCCTATACATAAGGAGAAGGTTAAACTTAGCCATTATTTAACGGCTAAATATTCCTTGTATGTAAAGAATGTTAAACTTAGCCATTAATCAACGGCTAAATATTCCTTTAATATATGTAGAGTCGGTAACATTTAGCCGTTAATTAACGGCTAAAAATTTCCTAGATATATGAAAAGAAGGTTAAACTTAGCCATTAATTAACGGCTAAACATTTCCCATATATATGGAAAGAAGGTTAAACTTAGCCATTAATTTACGGCTAAACATTTCCCATATATATGAAAAAATAGATTAAACTTAGCCTTTAATTAACGGCTAAACATTTCCCATATATATGGAAAGAAGGTTAAACTTAGCCGTTTATTAACGGCTAAACATTTCATTTTATATATGTGTAGGAAGTTAAACTTAGCCGTTAATTAACGGCTAAATAATTCCACTATAGGTTAGAGAGAAGGTCAAACTTAGCCGCTAATTAACGGCTAAATAATTCCTTTTTGTTTATAGAGGTTTAACTTAGCCGTTAATCAACGGCTAAATAATTCCAATATATACCTGAGGGAGGTCAAACTTAGCCATATTCTTTAGGAGGTTCAACTTAGCCATGAAATAACGGCTTATTATGTACGAACTATAGGGACCGCGCGGGGGAGAGGCTGAAGAGGTTCAGTAATTTGACATTTAATTCTAAACGGCCTCAAAAAGAGAACGACGAAATTTGCCCCTCCCTTCTCACCGGACCCCACATTGAAAGAACTGCTCCGCGGTTGGTTCTTTAAGCCGTTAATTGATTCGGCCAAAATGGGGTGTTTATGCTAGGACGTTACTCTCGCTCACAGCCGTTTTTTTGTCTCTTCATTCAAAATGGCTGTGAGGGAAGATCAAAGGATAAAGAACGTCAGAAGCCAATAAAAACAGGAGAAGGCCATGGGCAAACGACTTTTGTTGTGTGGTTTATTTGGTTTTTAGTAAGGGTGGTAGAGAAGGGGGGCTTTTGCCAGGATAGAAAAGTTTCAATTTGGAAAGAAATGCAAGGCCGAATCATGGAATGACGTGGAAATTATCCCTCCTCCCCCGGAATTTGTGGGGCGTTTGTTTTTTTGTTTTTCAGAACCACTGCAATTGCCCTACGGTAGAGGCTGGGGGCCGGGGATTCATACAAAGACCTCACGGTGGGGCTGAAATAAGTGTGCAAATGCCCGACCCCGGGATAACTCTAAAATTGCATTTTATTGTCATCTGTGGTTGAGGCCTAAACTTCAGCAATGTTATCAAATTTTATTTGAAGGAGATGTTTACCTTAAATGTATTTTTCAGTATACTACTCGCGAGAAATGTTGTGTTTAAAATTGGATGGATCGACTTTTTCATAATTATTATGGAAGAAGGGGTGGGACAAGTAAAACTAGCAACTCAATATCCATTAAAATGTAATTTATTGAAACAGCGTGATCAATGATTAAGATTTAATCGTTTATAGTGTACACGAAGGAGATGGTGTTTCAGCAAAAACTCTTAGAAAAAGCCTATTTCAATGTCGAAATGACTGGTCCAGCCATGGTCCGGCCGGCCACGCAGCTCTGACTTTTGGAAAGCGCCTTTAGTATAGTATCAAATGACGACTGATTAAAAATGATCACTTCAGAAAACAACAACATATGGTGTGGTGTATTAACGGCTAAGTTGAAACTCCCATTTATACACGTGGAATATATTAAGCCATTCATTAAAGGATAAATTGATTATCCCGTGCCGTGGTTGTATGTAGGTAACGGCTAAGTTGTACCTCCTACGGCTCACTCAATTCCCACCCACCCCGGGCCTTTCTGTCAGGGTGGTGGGGAATTTGTAAATAATAAAAAATAGCGGCTAAGATCGTTTTGCGAAGGGTGCTTCACTGCCAGGTTTTCATCACACAATAATGGCTCCTATCATTATGGCATTTGCAGGTGATTTCCTGGAAATGCAATTTTGGTGTTGTTCTGGGTTGGGGCATTTAGACCCCTTTATTAAGCTCCATCGTGGGGTGTTTGTATGAACCGCCTAGCCCCATCGCCATTAACCTCCTCTTTAACAATATATAATAACCTCCTCTCCATATATGTATTGGAAATATTTAGCCGTTTAATAACGGCTAAGTTTAGCAGTCTCTTTATATGTTTTGGAGGTATTTAGCCGTTAAATAACGGCTAAAAACGTATAATACTTATGTAATGGGAAATAGTTAGCCGTTATTTAACGGCTAAGTTTAGCTGTACCCTTATATATATCGGAAATATTTAGCCGTTAATTAACGGCTAAAATGCATGATACTTATGTAGTGAGAAATAGTTAGCCGTTATTTAACGGCTAAAAATGCATGATACCTAGATAGTGGGAAATAGTTAGCCGTTATTGAACGGCTAAGTTTAGCTGTATCCTTATATTTATAGCAAAAATTTAGCCGTTAATTAACGGCTAAAAAGGTATGATACTTATGTAGTGAGAAATAGTTAGCCGTTATTTAACGGCTAAAAATGCATGATACCTAGATAGTGGGAAATAGTTAGCCGTTATTGAACGGCTAAGTTTAGCTGTATCCTTATATTTATAGCAAAAATTTAGCCGTTAATTAACGGCTAAAAAGGTATGATACTTATATAGTGGGAAATAGTTAGCCGTTAAATAACGGCTAAGTTTAGCTGTATCCTTATATTTATAGGAAATATTTAGCCATTAATTAACGGCTAAAAGGGTATGAAACTTATATAGTGGGAAATATTTAGCCGTTAAATAACGGCTAAGTTTAGCTGTATTCTTATATATATGGCAAATAATTAGCCATTAATTAATGGCTTAAAATGCATGATACTTATCTAGTGAGAAATAGTTAGCCGTTATTTAACGGCTAAAGATGCATGATACCTATATAGTGGGAAATATTTAGCCGTTAATTAACGGCTAAAAATGCATGATACTTATATAATGGGAAATAGATAGCCGTTAAATAACGGCTAAGTTTGGCTGTATCTTTATATACTTCGGAAATATTTAGCCGTTAATTAACGGCTAAAAATGCATGATACTTATATAGTAAAAATATTAAGCCATTAATTAACGGCTAAAAAGGTATGACACTTTAGTGGGAAATGGTTAGCCGTTAAATAACGGCTAAGTTTAGCTGTATTTATATATATATATCGGAAATATTTAGCCGTTAATTAACGGCTAAGTTTAGCCGTATTCTTATATGTACGGCAAATATTTCGCCGTTAATTAACGGCTAAAAATGCATGATACTTATATAATGGGAAATAGTTAGCCGTAAATAACGGCTAAGTTTAGCTGTCTTCATATATATGTGGGAATTATTTAGCCGTTAATTAATGGCTAAATTTCTCGTTTTTATAAATAATTAATGAAAATTTAGCCGCTAATTAATGGCTAAATTTTTGGTTAGTAAAGAGTAAAATTTAGCCGTTAATTAATGGCTAAATTTTTGGTTAGTAAAGAGTAAAATTTAGCCGTTAATTAATGGCTAAATTTTTCTTTAATAATAATACAAAGTGACTTTATGGCTAAATTTTTCTTATAACAGCTTACTACAGTGTGAATTTATTGCAAATTTTGCCATTGTCTAAACACCGAGTCTCAACGGTCGGTTGTAAACGCGACACCGACTCTCTTATGGGAAAGTTATTTTACATAAGACACTCGTAACGTGAGCTTGGGGCGCTTGTGTTGTTTCAATGCTGGTATGTCCGCTGACCTCGGTGAAGTGGTCTCCAGAAGAATTTTATAATGACAGACCAAACGTCCCGTTTAAGGTGATGTTACACGAGACGATTCGCAACGACGATTTTGGCGCATTGCAGCGTGGCAACATTGCTGCGACATTGTTTCGAATGGTTACAACATTGTTCCAACACTCCCATACTGCATGTGTTGCGCTAAAAATCGTCGTTGCGAGTAATCCCATCTGCCTTAGCCCCTCATTAAATACTGACAAACCGAACCATCCGATCCCATACTGGTTTGTCTGTTGCCCGTTTCTATACACACAAACGAGCAATGCCTCTAAACAACTTTGTACACTTGTCGAGAGCTGTGGTCTGTAAGTATCGACCATGAAGTTGACGGGAATGTACATGGAAATGGTCACCGGAAATGGACGTTTACTACTGTCAATATTATTGCTAAAAAAGGATTTTTCATGCCCTATATTAAAGATAAATTCCATGTTGCCGTGCGTCTGTTCAGTAGTAGACCACAGATGACGTCAAAATTGGTGTTTTTACCACATTTTGACGTCTTCTGTGATCTATTACTGAACAGACCCACTGCATCATGGAATCTACTCGTTTCATACAGTGACATACACATACGTGCCTCGTACCACTTGACTTATCGAAGATCGAAGCATACTTAATCCGAAATAATCTCACAAACATTTTCAAAACCACCCGCCATGTTGAATAAAACAAAGAAAACATGTTTCCGTGACGTCATCCATGTATCTGTACTCTAATTATCATAGGCAACGACCAATTAGCATTCACATCATTGTATAAACTCTCATAGACTATAGAAATGAAGTCAAAATGTTCTCAACTTTTGAGTGAAATCATTGCCTGTTACTCGTGGTTATTTTCTCAACTTGTTCTTTAACACGGCTCTACGTTGAATGATTCTTCTAGAACCCATTTTTATTGACCCTGTCTTAATTATAATACCAACAAAACTACGAGACACAACCAGTTCGCAGAATTTCGTTCCAGACGGATTTAACACATTTCTAGTACAAATATTGCTAAGTGAGTGGTATACTGATATATACTGATACAGAATACTGATAATCCGTAGTGTACGTTTACCGCAAAGTAAAACTGCTATCAATTGTTGTTTCAATGTGAACTCGTGGAATTACCCTGACTTTACAGTGTCTTGAGTCGTTTAAAAGCAATGCAAGTAGGTTTATGATTTTTCCAGTCAGCTTTCTGACACTCTCTGCAAATAATGGTAAGGACAACAACTGTTACTCTCCCAAACTTGTTAAAAGCTTCTTGCAATTTCAAAGCCTAACGGTACGCATCATATTCTTTAACCATCTAATGCTTTCCTTCGAGGTAAATCAAAATGCTAAGTTTCAACTAGTCATGATCATGGATGGTCATCATGCCTTAACAGGACAAACCTAATCTCCACTGTCAAAATTGTCAATCATACTATTCTCAAAGCCAATCCACAAATTTTACCCTCTACGAGGAGCACATCCACCATTATTAAGGGGATTCCCCACTCAGGGCCTACTCTTCCTGTGAGGAAATACCCTAATAAGGGAAGGTACGTTTTTTATGGGTGGGTGTGGGGGGGAGGGGGGGGGTGGGTAGGCCGGGGCTTCCGAGGGGAAAAAAATTACTCCATGTAACTTCTATTTTGTATATACAAACAAAGCTACCAGTCAAGATTAATCTAAATTATTTACAGGTGTCGAAAAATTTATGTATCAAAAACTATCTTCTCCCAACTAACATAATTGTCTCTCTCGACCCGTGTCTACTTTCGCCCATATTTTGATGTTTCCGCGCGGGGTTCTGTGATTTATTGCTTTCAAAGCCTCGCGACCTACCCACTGGCGCTTTCCTTCAATCACGAAACAGTGGCGAAAGCGTTCCTTGTAGGGACAAGTGGTTCAAAAAGACAGGTAGAATTTTGGCAGAATACTATTTGACAATTCAGTATATTCGCCCTTTGGGTTCGGGAACCACCCTAGGTCTTCATCTTTCCACTTCTCTGGACTTGCGCTTTCACTCGTTCCCGCAGCCGACGTGCCACCAACAGAGTCAGAGGAGTAGCGGGCATCCTTTTTAGAATGGCGAGTCGGCAAACAGCCACAATAGCCACAAGTTGCTCTATCTGACCTCATGAAATCCTCGCATTCACCGACAAGCAAATTTCCCTCTTTCAATTCCTTGTATACATCATTGCCAATTTTCAAGTTTTCACCGTACAATCACACGCCACGCAATTAACTACTTTGTGCGCAGATGAACGTGGTTATATGAGTAACACTTCCAGTTTGTTATTTTCACTTCCGGTTATTTTTGTCTTGGAAAGGTAGGGGGGTGGGGGAGGGTCAGATGTTTTTGTTTAGGTATTTCTAAAGGTTCATTCATTAATCTGTTCCAGGAAGTGGGAGGGCCACGGCTTTTTTCGCAAAAAAATTCGAAAATACCCCGGCCCACCCTCCCCAAATAGATAACAAAAGTTTTACTAAAACTAAATCGCTGCATGAAATCAACTAAAACTGCAATGCTTACATAAATATTGTATTTGTTGGTTATACATTTGTACGTACTTGCTGCAGTATTGTTGGACCCCACAAGCACCACATGACTTCAGTTTTATATCCTTGACCTTCTTAGTGCACGCTTTATAGCCACAATTGGCCACTGTTCCAATTTCAGGTAGTACCTGATAAACAGGAGTCATCGAGTCTTTCAAGGGAAGACGAACTGGATCAAAAAAAGGGAGTCTTTTTTCCTCAGCATCTTGGCCAAGTTCATAATACTTCTGGAATTCTTCAGTGTGTTGATCAGTAAAGGCAAGACGTGCAAGATAATAATAAACATTCGGATATGATTTATTACATGATGGGGCTTCAACTAGATACTCGTTTAACACCTTTGAGGCAGTGTTTCGCAACAAACTAGTCGTCCAAGAAGCATATTTCGTCATTTGTCTTTTATCTGCGTCAATAGGCACCAATTCTGGAAATATTTCTGCGTTGGAATCGTCTTCTTCTGGGTATGAAAGTCTCATTAAGGCATACCCCAGCAATTGCTTGGATGGATAATAGGATGGACAGCAAAGCAAAGAATTTTCAGAAGCCTGAGCTGCCTTTTCAAGAGCTCCACAAATGACATATGTTGATGCCAAAATCCAATACAATACGTGAAGCCAGCTACTATAGTTTTTGTCAAACTCAAAGGGATTTTTGCAAGGGGAGCTGTTGGGTTCAACTTTTCGGATAAAGTGGATCAAGTTAAGTAGACATGTTGCCCTTTTCATCTCAATTTTGGAACTTTCCATTGAAATATTAGGTTGAAAATGACACCAGGTACAGGACAAAAGAACACCTTCAAAAAAATGTGCATTAGTTGTCAAGTTCTTCTCACAGAGATGAAAGATCTTGGACAAAAGAGGACGTTCCAGAGGGAATGCTTGAAGGATAGTATTCTCGGTCAAGTACCCATAGGCTATAAGAGAGATCCCTTTTACATCAGTATAGTTACTCTCGTGAAGGATCTTAAAGCCTTCTTTTACCAGCTTGAATGCTTGAAGGTAAATCATTGCTGTTGGAGACCAATCAAATTTACTGAGCATTTCTTCTGAAAAGAAAATAGGCTGACGAATTGCCAATGGATGTTGGCCATAGGACTGTTCACTTTTCTCCACCAAGATGTCCATTGATTGCTCAGCAGACTGCATACTTAGTTCTGGGGGGTTATGCTGTGAATCAGCACAGTCTTTACATTGCCTAAGAAGCTGAAATTTAAGAGAAATAATGTTAATATTATGTATATCGCACTAAATATGTACAGTAATAAAAACTGTAATATTCTAGATAAACATTTTGGCGAACAAAATATTTCTATAAACGATGTCTTCATGATGATAGCCCATTTATGTTACTGTGATTGCAAATTTTAACACAGGAAGGAATCTCTCATCCCCAATCAATAATGGCAACTGTGATGATTACTGTCTGAATGTGCTCTTTTATTATCAGTACTTTAAGAGGGTCTTACTTGAGTTGTAACTTCGGCTGTAACTTGGGGTGAAGACAAAAAAATATTAATAGATGTCATTCGAGATGCTATAAAGTGCACTCCCTCCCTGTCTTCCGTGCTCCTGCTACCTCAACATGCTTTTCAGTTTTAAGTCAACCCAAATTTCCTATCTTTCTCCATTTTTAAAAAGGCAGCACATGGCCTCTGGAGATGACTGTGTAATACAGGAAAGAACACTGAAATTAAACGTGTCTAGTCAAATAAGAGTACCTGGTATTAAGAAGAAGACTCTTATTAGCCAAGTTTGAGGTCCATAAATCAAAGAGGAAAAATGAGAATGCTGTAATTTACAGTAAGAGCCAAGACAAATATATTGATATGGGATAAGCTAATAATGTTTGACACAATTCTTAAAAGCTATGATTTGCTCCTTGGATGTCACGTAGACTATTAAATGTGTAGAAATAAATGGCATCAGAGAGAATGCCTTAGTGTAAACAACAGTGTGTTCAAAAAAATATATATATAGTATACACGTAAGCCATGTAAAGGTAAGTTATATTTTATTTAGTGCAACTCCAAGCACTGTTGAATGACTTCAGGCCCCATCATGGGTCACCCAATATCAGTAATACATGTAGGCCATTTCTGAGTTCCCCCAAGGCCCCTGTATCAAAACGAGGTAAGGTGCTCAGCCTTTGATATGGAAATGATTTTTCATTTTCATGCAAATAATACTCATTTTCACAAGCAAGGTTGAGCACTTGGCCTCACTCTGAAAGTGAGGGTTTTTGGAACTCAGAAGTGGCCTATTGTGTTTTGCCATTTGCTGAGCTTTGCATTTTACCGGTGCTTTCCATTTTGCTAATCTGACCAAACAAACCAAGAGAAAATTGAAACAAAGGTTTAATTTACATTTTGATCGAATGTTGATTACTCCTTAGCTACGTGGGATTGCAAATAACAATAATTTTGGAAATGGAACAGAGAAACTACCTCTGGTGGTGGACAACTTTTTCCAGGAAATTTTTCATCTGCTCTTAAGAGTTCTGTTTAATTTATATTTTGTTTTTACATTTTACAATCAGAAAATCAATCAATTAATCAATAACAATTGATTAATTTCTGTTATTATTCATTCAAAATATTTTCCTGATTCTGATTGGCTAAAATCTTGTACCCAAGAATCACAGTCAGACATTCTGCATTCATTTTCAGCAAACTATTATTTTCTTAGTGTCCTATTTCTTTCCTTAATGCAAACCTATGGGGGTTGGTTTTCTTAAACCAGTGTTCAATCTAGAAATTATTCAAGGTGGGACATACATAGAGGATATTACATGGCCACGCAGGGATACGAAATTTCTCTTCGAGTGTTAAAAAATATTGCGCGAACGAGTGAAATATTTTTTTCAACACAAGAAGAGAAATTTTTCGTATCTCCAAGTGACCATGTAATGTTCTATTTATTATATAAACACCAATGAAATACCAAACCATTTTAATTAAATAGTTTTTTGGTCTGAAAGGTGCAGTTTATTATGAAGCCATAGCAACGGTGATATTTTCACATGTGAAGATAACATGTTATTTTCACATGTGAAAATATCAAGCTTTTGCACAAGAGCTCACTTGGTATTTCATTGGTGTTTATATAACAAATGTATGTCCCACATCACATTTTAATGGGTCATTTCAAAATGGCCCGGGTCAAACTATGATATTGAAACTTCGAACATCAACTGACATCATCAAACTGACTTCTCCAGTTTCACCACCATCCTTATCCAGCCCATCTTCATGCTTTTCAGGCTCAACTGACATTCTCGTTGGTGTTAAAAATGAAAATAACTTTTGTTGTCATTTCATAATGAAATGAAAACAGAAGAACGTCAACAAATGAAGCATGAATCAATCGGCAAAGCAACGTATGAGGGAAAGTCAAAATGTACACTCCAGTCTCTCCTGGAATTGCCTGGAACGGCACCTGACACAAAAACTATTCGTAAGCACATAGGCTGAAATGACAGTCATTTTCCGCACTCATTTCAGGCTATTAAGCACACCTATTGCTTTAAAATACTTTAATTGTTGCCTGCTGCTTTGGAAGTACATGTACTTATATATGAGGTAACTTTTTTTGCATCAGTATGACTCCACGATAATTTCATTTTGCGTCTGAATAGGATAGATGCAAAAACGTGGCCTAGATTGAACACTGTTAAACAGAAATCCGTTGGTATGTTTTTATGCCTTGTAAATTTTTTTAGACAAACATCCTGTCATGCTAAGTTGAAAAGTAAAACTCCCAGCCTAAGTGTATGTACATAAGTTATACAACTGATGTTCACATAATTATTGCTGCTTGCTAACTCAAATAAAAACCAATGGCATCAAAATGTGCAACTGAGCTGGTAATCAATGAAATTAATAACCAAAATGTTTGACTGTATCATTAATCAGTAAAATTGATAACCAATGAAAATCAATGTCATTACTATTGATTGATTCACATTGATTATTGTCAATAAAATAGATAATTAGTGACAATCCTTCATACCAAAAACTTTCACGATTGATTGTCTATTAATTTTAATATCAATCTTAAATTGATCCATATCAATATTCTGTCATCAATCATCAGTTTCATCCATTGTTCAGGCCCTGTTCCAGGCATAGTTAATCAATAAACCAATAGCTGATAACAATTGTGAGATCAATGGTAATTGAACTGAGTGGAGTGCAATTTGGTCTGATATCATACACGATTTCAAAATCGGACAAGCTAGCAGTGCAAGTTTGATTTGAAATCACAATTATGATTAATTTTCAGACCAAAATTGAACAACATGACGTTCAATAAAATATTACCACTTTATTATAGTCCTTTTGAAATCACAGAATTCAGTCAGTAGAGTCGAACCTCTCGAATACGGACACCAGTGGAACAGAGCAAAGTGTCCGGATTAGAGAGGTGTCCGTATAAAAGAGGTCACTATGATGACATCACTTTTATGACTCCACATACAGTTTTAAGGGTTCAGTAGCTAAAACCAGGATTACACTCATCTTTAAACTGCATTTAAAGTTATTAATTCACACTATAAAGACACTATCTTTCAGTAGCATACAACACTGTACATCTCAGCTAAAGACAAATTACTGTTTTAAAACGAAACGAGCTACAGCGCAATGCTGCATGTAAAAAGTTGCAACGCAAAGCACAATTCTGAAAGCATCTTTTGCTATTTTGCAAGTACAGTAAAACGTATCTAGAGTACAAAATGTAATAGAAAAGATATTTATGCTATCTGTAGTTATTGAAGCCTTCAAAAAGTTGGTTATGTTCCTCTGTACACCTTTCGCAAATCGTTGATTGGTGTACAGCAACTGGGCTTTAAATCACCTTGCATACAGTGTAGCTCATCAGCCAGACTAGACAGGATTCACACTGTGTAGATTCACCTAATCAGCGCAGTGTCCTTAATAGAGAGGTTAAGTTTATATGAATTTACTCTCTGGGGCCGAGATTTAGTGTGCATTGTCCATATTAGAGAGAATCTGTAGTATAGTTTTTTTTTTACAGAAAATATATGAGAATTTTGTCGGGACATTGCAAACTGTCTGTAATAGAGAGGCGTCCTTATTAGAGAGGTGTCCGTACTGAGAGGTTCAACTGTACCAATATTTTGTTGATCTAGTAGCTGGTTTGTTGAAAGGAAAGTGGAAACAAAAAGGCTTTTACATCTCATTTTGTGCTTGAAACAAAAATGATGCGATATAGAGCGAAAATGGTGCGACTTAAAACAGAAATGACATGATTTAGAACAAATGTGATTTAGAGCAAAAAATAGTGTGATTCGTAAACAAATAACACTGCTGAGAGCCAATCATATTGCAGAGATCACCAGTGATTTCTAAATGGATATAATATTAATAAAATTAATATCGATCTGTGCAAGATATTGATTTCCGATGTCGATTGATAAAAATCGGTAATGAAAACAGTTGTGACTTTGCATTGATTAAAATTGACTTCTGATAGAAATTTATAATAATTAATTTATTGACTATTATCGATTACCATAGATTATTATCACAAAAGACACCGAGTAAAAGTTTAACATTAACACGATGTTGTACAGGAACTAAATGCTATGAATTTTCACCAAACAAAGAACAATCCCTTATGCCAAAAGATGGCAGTGATCTGGAGGACTTCAATGCCCATGTATATACATGTACTACATTGAACTGAACTCCAGTCTCAGAGAGATTGCAAGAAAAGAACTGCAACATGCAGCTGATGGCGCTGGATTGAAGGGACATGTTTCAAGAGCTATAAACACTGGTTAAAACGAAAAACAATAGACTGCAATGAAGACTATGCCTGAAGTAGTTGCTGAAGTCAAAAATAAAATGTGTTAAGCTAAAGCCCATCTCATTCAATGGTGTTGTTCGTCAAATAGCATAAAATTTGTCATGTTCAGAATGTCTGAACAACCCCCTTTTTTTTACTCCTAAAGATTATTGCTTATTCCTTTTCTTCTTAACTTATATTTTGTATGTAAATTTGAGAAATTCTTTAATAAAAATTAATATAAAATATACATATGACTATCGATTACTTAACAATTAATGAATGAGGCTGAGTATCTTATGAAGAATTATCGAGATTGCCTATGGCCTCAACAGATAACACCCACCGAGATCTCCATCATTCTTCATATGATACGAAAGCCGAATACAATAATTGTTTTATTATTCATTCAAAATAATTCCTAGTTTAAAAACACAGCTAATTAAAACATGCTTACCTCCCTTGATGTTAAGTTCATCTGCGATAGTGCACGTCTTCAAATAGCAGATGTCTCCCTTCGAGTTGTCTTCTTGCTGTTTTTGCCATGTTTTTAGCTATTATTTTGCCTAGTTCTTACTCTTGAAACGAGTAAAATGTCCGCCATTTTTGTTTTCAAAACCAAAACAACTCAACCTTGACCCCAGGTATAGTTGGTTAACAGTGCATTAACCTGCAAGGAAGCTGTACTTTTGACGTCATCGGTTGATTAATCGCGAAATTCTGCCAAATTTAGTCATCAGTAGCTAGTTATGGTGAATTATGCGTGTGCTTTTTGCCAATCAGAATCGGGGAAATATTTTGAATGAATAATAATATCAATTTTTTAATCGATGAGAATTGATAAATTATTTTTGCTATGAGTTTGATTTCTAATGATATCCGATATCAACCAAAAACAATCGGCAAATTATATCAATTGATTTCTGATATCGATTTCTATCGATTAACTACACCTGGACTGTTTTATCCATGTCGCTTACCTCTTTTGCCTTGTCATCACCACTAGCTGAAGCTTTCCTCAGCCATCTTCTTGCCCTTGACATATCTTTGACTTGCTCGCAACTTCCGGTCATGTAGATTTGTCCCAGCTGTAGCTGTGCCTCAGTATCACCTTGTTCAGCTGCTCTGGTCAAATAGTAAACGGCTTTCGTTGGTTGTGGTTTGCCTTCTGGACATTCCCCTATGCGGTAGTACTTATATAGAAGTTTCAGGGCCGTATATCTTCTGCCATCGATGACGTTTCCTATTTTACGCATAGTTCCAGCCAACAAATGAGACAGACCGAAAGGCCCCCCACCCTTTCCATTAATAGTCCCATCTTCATCAGCGGCAATTTTAAACCATTTAAATGCTTCTGTAAGATCTTCCTTAACGACTCCTTCAACTCCGTACCGGTACATTTCCGCAAGATTGAGTTGTGAATTTGTGTTCCCCAATTTTGCCGCCCTGTGGTATAGCTCGAACGCCTTTCGCTGATATAGAGTCGTTCCTTTCCGATCTAGTAATTCCCCAAGTTTTACAAGGTAGCTAGGTAATTCATAACCGCTTTCAACAGCAGCGCTGAGCCACTCAATTGCTTTATCATCGTCTTTCGGCAATAGATCGTCAAAACCTTCCGAGTACGCTATCCCCAGATCTGCTTGGGCAACGATTTCGCCATTCTTGGCTTTATCGATTAAAATTTCGATTGATCCGTGTGTTTCAATGCAATACTGCTGAAAATTCAGGTCCTCAGGAAAATTCATTGTGGCTTGTCGAAAGACCTGCCTCGTAGATGCATGTCAAAGAAAACAAAATGGCGGACAGAACTCCCAGAACGCTTTGCGTGTTCCACTCGACCGAAGCCGATTTTTGAGGGGATGGGTCGGGAATGGGTCATTTCAGGTTCAAGTCTGGCGAACAGATTTGGAAGTCGATTTGGAACGAAATATTAACAAATTGACGCCAGTTTTATATCGTCTGGTAAATGACATCATAACATTGTCAAAGTTTGTTGTGAAAGAACCCCTTGCAGAACTAAAATATCTCCGAAACTATTACGACTGGGAAGTAATGAGTTGGCACAATCATTTTCCCTGTTTGTTAAAACAAACATTTTTAACAGATGTATTGTACTGATCGGCGGCGACAAGGCTGAGAGTGTACAGCCGCTTCGTCTCCTCAAAAAAATGGTTTCTTGCTTGGTTTGTACCGTAATTTATCAGAAACAATGGCGTTTTGTCGGTTAATATCTTCTGCTCTTTGTAATTTACCTGTGCTTCGGTTAACAACTAAGAAACACAATCGCAAGAAACTCGCCGAGCCATCCACCACGTGTGCACCCGCCATCTGGCTGACGTTGCAAAATTTAAGGAGTAAGGGGTAATAAACAAAATTTAATTTGGGGCGAAAAGGACGAATAAAGGACGAAATATTACAAGTTCTGATTCCACATCAAAGGCATAATGGCTAAGTGCTTTTATGCTTTTCCGGTTTTTTCTGTAAGTCACTTTACTTAGAATCCGCTGATAGAGGTGACCTCACCGACCGTAACTTCAAACACTGGATTGAAATCGTCAACACATCGCACCTAAAACCCAGGGTACCTTCTTCATGGCTTTAGGTGTATGAAAGAGGGTCTCAATGGGGTTAACCGATAGGCGTAAAACGGCCAAAAATTTAGCCGATAGCCGTAAAAATTGAAAAATTTTAACCGTTAGCCGTAAATAGGGTAAAAAAGAGTTAACCGTAAAAGAAAATGTTTCTTAGATTTGCTACTTTTAAGGAAGATACTAAACTCACTTATGGTTCCGTTTTTTATTTCCCGGCTAGTGTGATTCTGTACGCACGTTAGGCGAAGCGCCTTAACCAAGACTTAGGCTCCATTTCCGGCGCTCTCTCGGAGGGGAACTAATTTTTTCCATAGCGAAAGTGTGGCTTCTTGCTGGGGATTAATATTTGCAATTTTCCGGAGGTCGTGCCCTCGAAACACTAATGAAACAACACGCAGAGATGTCACTGTTTGTAAAACACGTTGCCGATAAACAACATTTCCCTGTTTTTCTCTGACGCTACGGCAGACATTGCCATGCCCAGTCCCTGTACGGCGTCTTCCCACGCAATCTCGGTCAAGGCATTTCGGTGGCGAACTCGCTCGGACCACGTGACCCGAAACGCATTAGCCCCACGGAATAATGCGGCCTACGGACAAGGCAACGGCAGACAGTCGTTCCGCACATCCCTTCACATCATTAAAAACACTGGACACGGGAATTTTGTCATTGGTCGTTTTCACACTAGAGCTAGAAATGGATCATCCGTCTGAGACTTGCCTGTGTACAGTTGCGCCCTCTCCAAAGACACCCCTTCTCCGAAATTTTCTGAGTGGAGGGGGCGGCTGTACACAGGGCTATCTGGAACGGATAATCCCGTCTTCAAAACTCAGGCGGATTGTTCATTCAAAATTAAAACTATTCCATTTTCAAATTAAGACGTATTACCTATCTGACGCGAGTTATCAAACGGATAACCCGTCTTACACGAATAATCCTTTTCTAGTGTGAAAACGGCCATTTCTGTTACAATGAACGTCGCGCCCCGGCCTTGAGTTGGGCGTTCGCGTGTCTGCTTTTGCTTTTTCACAGAGATTATTTTTAAATTGACTATTGACATTTCTAAGTGTAAAATAATATTAGAAGTGGAATACTTTATAAAAAGTATGATCTATCAAATGTTAAAATATTTCAAAAGAATAGCTTATTTCATCCCGAGATGATCCGAAGACCTTTATTCAAAAAAATACAGGTTAATTAATATTTAATTTTTTGAAACAAAAGAAGTTAATTTTTAACTTTTTCGTTAACCGTAACTGAAAAAAATTAACCGATAGCCGTAAAAGAGCCAAAATTTTAGCCGATAACCGTAAAGGCCACTACCCCATTGAGATCCTCATGAAAGAGTAAGGATTCACTTGTCGAGGTATATTAAAGGTTAGAGAATCTGCAATTTATGGCTGAGAAAAAGTCGAGAAAACTTTCTGGTTTGGTGACTTAACCATATTTTAAAGACAACTTCTTTACAACAGTTGAAAGTGAGCAGAGGTCTTAACTTGGAATGTGAAAGGGGTACAACCTCGTTCCCAGGGTTCTCTCCTACCCGCCCTACGGATTCAGGGCGGAAAAACGTTCTGCGCAAGCTTCTGCGCATCCTTTATCGCAGGCTCAAGGCGGGCTTTTCTGTGTGACTGTGTTCGACAGTATGTTTGTTTGTCACTGAGAGAGTTCTGACTAAGACTGAATGAAATGCCCAAGTTGTCAACGTTTGCTCCTCGAAAAGCCTTTTTACTTTTGTGTGGTTTTTGTTTTTCGTCACTTGAAAATTACTTTGCATTCAGAACAACCAATGTTAAAGGAAAAACGGATCATTCCGTCAGTCTGAGGCGGAATAAAGAGTTTTGAACATTTCCAAAGAGGCGAGTATTTTTTTGATTGTTCATTCGATTTATTTGTGAGTTGATTTCGCCTTCTTTCGCCGGGCTGAATTAAAACCCACTTTTTTAAAAAGTAGTAAATACTTTTTCACATGCCCAGATTTATTCCCTTTGTAGAACCAGCTTTATCCTTCTCTTCAGTGAAAGAACCATTTTGTGCGCCGTAAAACTTTCTCGGAAATACCGGTAGAAGGCCAGTAAACTTACTCTAGAAGAAAAGAATCATTTTTCTGTTGCTCAAATACTATAAGTAGTCAGAGTTTTCTTCACTTTTAATTACATAGTTTTGTTTTCCACTGCACTGTGAAATTAAAGTTTCTGTTCTTTATAAGAAATAACTTTCTGTACGCAAATTTTCTATTTCACTCGCTGTGAAGTAGAGGACAACTGCCGGCAGTGACTTCAAAACAATTGACCCTGCCCGTAACACTGAATTGCTGGAGCTGGATTTGTCTGAAGCGAGCAAAACAAATACCCTTATGTGCAGTTTTCTGAATTTTGTAACGATTGGCTGAGTTTAATTTTCTTGAATGAAGACCCTCACACGGACCAGTTATTCACTGAGTTATTAAAGCGAGGAGAAGAGCTACATGGTGAATCATGGTTTAGCTGCGAAGCTCACTGCAACTGATCTTTTGCTTTTAAGATCTTAGGTAGGTTGTTTTCGTACAAAAAATTCATTTCTTCATTGTCAGCAAGAAGTTTTTGCAATAATGTAATTTTAACTTTGTTTGAAGTTAATCCTATTTACGTGTAGGTTTTTGACAGATGTTATGCATTTTCAACTTGACAACACAAAGCATAATTTATATTTATGTCTTAGTACGCGAAACGATCAAGTTTAAAAATAAACTATAGTTGCTTTAAAACCGATTTTTCGGAAGATTTTACTTGATAAAGATTGACCTTTTTTCTGCCCGCATATCAACGCAATAACTTCTACATTGAGGATTTTGTTTATATTTTAGTTATCTGCGAAACTACGAGTGTCCGATCGAGCGAGGGTTTTAAAATATCAGTTCGAGTGCGACAAGTTCAGTGCCATCAAACACATTGTGGGCAAGCGTTAATTTTTTTGGGCAAATCACTGTCCAAAGATATGTTGTTTTTGTGTCCACAGTGGAGCTCCGGACCTTATATATCCAGGAACTTCCTTATATGAACACATTTTGTGAATGCATCTTGAAAAAAATCGGACCTACGCATGCACATTTCCAGTACAACGCAAGGAAATTGATGTCGTTAAAGTCCGTTTTACTATGAGGTATTCTTCGAGAAAATTAAGTAACGACAAGGTTATAACCACAGCTTCCAACTTTTGAAGACAAATTGCCTGTTCTTTCCAGGTTATGAGTGGAAACATCTTATTTTTAGGCAATAAAATATTTGAAATCCCGCCATTTTTTCAAACCCGGCCAGGGGATCTGGGCAAAAAAGTTCAGGCATGCTCATTACGTTTTTCCGCCCTGAACCCTACGGAGCGAGAGAGGGCGGGTAGGAGAGAACCCTGGGAACGAGGTTGAAAGGGGAACTACCATTTGTCAATGGAAGGTATACCCGAAAGGAGTATCTTTTCAATCAAAAATGGTGTGTAAAAGGACAAAGGGTTGGAACACGGGACGGAGCCTCCTCGTATCAAACTTTGGTAAGTACTCCCTCCGCCCACCACCCGAAGTACTTGGCCAGAAACAAAATCTAGATTCAAGATTTATTAATATCAACAATCATGCAATAGCCTTGATTTAAGACCTTACAATTGCTACAACCAGCCTGATAAATGTAAGTACATAATAAAACCGAACGTAAAGAAGTGGGTCTTAGGTACTATAGAAGGATTTCGCACTATAAGCAATAACAGCAGAACCTCCCTGAGCGACAACCGGAGGTAGATGACTCAGTACTCCTCATGAGCTACCATTTCTCCAAAATAACAACTCAGCTTTCCCATCGAAGTGCTATAACTGGAATAGCCAAGCTCCTAGATCATAGTAATTAGTATGTGCACCTGTTTTCGCGACGAACCTACCATCTGACAGAGTTGAACGGGCAAAATCCGGCACCTAGTAACTGAACACTTTTCATAACTGGTCATCAAAGTTAACTAGAAATACGTTATCGTAAAATCCTGGCGAAACTTTAAAGGATCAGCAGTGAGAATAAAGGGAAACAAGCCAAAGAGAAAAAAATGATTAAAAAAAAAAAAACTAAAAAAAAAGGTTTCAAAGTATGGCTTCGCCGGGATCCGGGTTCAACGGCGGATGGATGTACGGAGCTGAA